CCCCAAAACCCCAAAACCCCAAAACCCCAAAACCCCAAAACCCCTAATGATAAGAAGGAGTTTAATAGTAAATTAAATAAGAGATCTGCTTTAAATCATCATTTTTAATCGTGAATTGACCTGTTTGGACTTCTCTGCCACACTCTTGTTCTTAAGAAGAGACAGATCAGTTTGAAAATCGTTTTGAGAGTTAGCTCTCAAAGAATTAGAATTATTCCCTTGTGATTTTCCAAAGGACTTAGAGGATTGTTTTCTTCCTTTATGAATGTCTGGTAATGGACTCAAAAGATCGATCTGAGTGTTCATTACACCTTCTTTACCATCTTTAGAGGCTCTTAAAGGAGGAGACATGAAAGGCATCTCTACAGTACCAGCTATACTTTGTTTCCCAGGAGCGGCAGAAACAGACTTCTTCATTGGGTTGGGTGGGGGAGGAAGATCCTTTGATGAAGTGAGGGAGAAATTAGCATATTTATTCTCTTCAACACTCGAAACGGTTTCATCAGAACTCTCACTCCCATCTTCGTTTGTATAGTAATCCTCATTTTGGTCCTCAGGAATAACTCCTTGCTTGGCAAGGATTCGATCATGCTTGATGGTAAACCTTGCAGATATTTTATTTACAGAATTATTTTTGGGCTTGAGCTCACTATTGGTCGATGGTCTTTTCGAATCATTTGTGTTTGACAACAAATCTTTTTGCCCAGTGTCATTATTAACCAATGATTTATTAGAAACTTTTTCTTTGGTCATGTTCGGCTTTGTATACTTTTTCGGGACCCGCCTCTTCTTGCCAGATTTATTTTGAAGATGATTTGGAAGCCTTTGAAGGTTCCTTTCGAGGTATCCTCCTTTGGTCTAGTTTGACTTGCGGAGAAGGATGAACCATTTTCTTTGTATGATTTTCAGCATGAGTGCCTAGATCTACAAATTCTCCAGGTTTGCTTTGTCTCTTATTACTGAGGATGCCAACAGAAGTTGTACCTGTGTTTTGAAGCAGAAGGGGTTTATTCTTATATGAAGAATAAACATTTTCAGTTCCGCTTAAATTAAAAGTTCTTACGGGTTCTTTTCTTGTGTATTTCTTCTCTTGGTGCTTTCTTGAGACAAACTCCTATTTAAATTTATAATCAAAGAAAATAAACAATTAACTCACTTGTTTGCCTTCAGTAAAGGGGCTCATCTTTGAAGAATTCCAACTATTCCTTCTTTTAGCAGTAGTTGTGATGCCTTTTTCAGAGAAATCGTCATCTGTATAATCATTAAAAGTCTTCAGAATCTTGTTGGAAACGTTCATCTCACTATCCTTGGCTTGGCTCCCTGCAATCTTTGGAGTTTCCCTAAATATTTTGGTAAAGTTGCTAGAATGGTCAAGAATTTTAGGCAAAATTAATACTGTTTCTCTATTGAAAAGCCAGTAACATTATGCTTACTTTGAAGCCTGGAGAAGCTCACTTCGCTCTTTCTCTTCCTTTTCTAAATGGAGTTTTAGTAAAGTTTGCCATAAATTGTGATAATTTTTCTAAGAAACTTTTCTCTTTAAATAAGGACCCTCCAGATTTATAATTTGATGAATCGATTAGTAGTAAAAATGCCTGACCTTTAGCTTTTTGGTTTCTCAAATGCTTGATAGGAGTCGCTGTATTCTCAATATCTATAAGAAATTTTAGACATAACTTAAGTCAAGGGAATAGTAAATTAGCAAAAAGACGACCAAGGAGATTCTAAGAAATTGATGAGCTCTTCTAAATACTCTAACTCACTTTTGTTTTTAAAATACTTGTCGATCACTTGAATTCCTTCTAGCAACTTCAGCCAGCTTAGAACCGACCCTTCGTGTTTTCTTTTTCTTAGCATGGTCATTAGACAGTATTCAGCAGAAGATTCGGGCTCAAAAATTTGGTTTCTTCTCTGCAGACATGAATTGTATTTTTAATTTATAATACAAATACAGATGTTCATTAAAGTTTAGAAAATTAGGGGTTTTGGGGTTTTGGGGTTTTGGGGTTTTGGGG